CTTTGTTTATTTTAATATTGTGTATATTTTCACTTGTTATTACAATATGTGTATAACTCTAAAAGAACTCTTATATATGAAGCAATTCGGGGGATCACCTAGGGAGGGGGAATTATGTGTTAATCATTTTTTATTGCAAACTTGTTTGTGTTTAAAAGCATGCCTATACGTTTATCACACAAACAAGTTTGCAATAAAAAATGATTAACACATAATTCCCACTTCCTAGGTGATCCCCCGAATTCCTTCATATATAAGAATTATTTTAGAGCTATACACATATTGTAATAACAAATGAAAATATACACAATATTAAAATAAACAAAGATTTATCCGAAATTTCTTCTAGGCCACTCTTCCTCATCTTGAACTTTAAGTCCAAAACCTGCTAGAATAAGTAAGGTGACACGTATACAATGGAAGAATGATTGTAATGTAAAATAATCTTAGTAACCAATTACTCTCATATATACATATATAAACAACACATGTAAGAAATAAAAAATACAAAACATAGGTATAGACATATTCACACACATTGGGGAAAAGATATGGAGTGCTTCCTCACAAAAATTATAATAAATGCAAAATAAGAAAATTAAAAATAATAGAGGGATGACTAATAGTATAATGTTATTAAAGAATACTAATCGGTTAAGCAGAAAAGAAATAGTAGCAATGAAACAAGTTGATCCAACCTTTACTCGAACAAAACCAAAGTAGCAAGGTAGCACTTGAAAGTATCAAGAGAGCAATGAGAGAGTTAAGAAGTCTAGCTCTTGTTTTGAGAGAGAATAAGTGAGTTTAGTGTTAGTTGGGAGAATGTGTTCCTCTCAAAGATGTCAATGAATGTTATAAAAGAAGGAAAATTGTCTCTTATATAGTAGAAGAGGCAGGAACAAATAAGGAAATAAAATATTTAAAGAAAATCAATTAATTATCATTTTTTCCTTATTCAAAAAAAGATTCAAATCAGCCAGATTATTTAAATATTTTTTACCAACTATAAGCAAGTAATAAAATAAGAAAAGTAATATATTTCTTTAAATAAAAGAGGAGCAAAAATCAGGAAAATATTTAAAATACTCTTACCAAAAATAAATAAGTAATAATAAAGTTAGGAAGACAATATTTGTTTTACCTTAAATAATGAAGATCCAAACAAAATCTTTTTAACATATATAAAGTAGTAAGAAATCAAATTGGGAAAGTAATATAGTTTTCCGTAAATAAAGAGGGGCCAAAATAAGAATTTTTATTTAAAAAAATCATTACCAAATATGAACAGGTAAGAAATATATTTTCCATAAATAAAAAAGTGTGAAAAAAATGGATTTTATTTAAATTCGTTTTGCCAAATATAAGGTATTTTTACAAAAATAGGAGCAAGTAATAGTTAGCATGCTATAATTAAACAGTATTAGACACAAGGGAATAAAATACTTATATCAATTTACAACATTACAATTCTTACAGTCAAAGTGAATAAATCAACCAAATTATTTATTTATTTATTTCATACCAAAACAATAAGACATATAAAAAAAATTCCGTCCATCTCTAAGTTAAGAGTGACAAACAAATAATCATGTTTGCATCTACCATAAGGAAACTATCAATTAATTTATCATGGTTCAAAGAAGAAGCAAGACTAATTAACAAGAAGGGATATATAACGGATTACTAAGAGCAATGATCAGTCAACATACCAATAGCCAAAAATCATTAACAATTGACAACAAAAATATGAACAAGTAATTAAAATCACCAAGATTTATCTTACTCATGAATAACAAACATTAAATGCACATCAGGAAGAAATGAACATTAGAAAAACCATACCTGGATGGATCCATCATAAGCTCTTCGAAAGACTTGTCAGATTTTACTACTTTCCTTGCAAAATTTATGGCCAACATTGTCACAGTTGGAGATGTTGTCCGCCGGATATCCTCGCCTGGATGCTAATGTTGTTTGTTCCTCGACAAGCTGCTGCTTGGAAAAAATTGAAATGAGAGGAGGCGAGGCGGCACTGGCTTTAGCTTCTCGTTGGCGGCGGCTGCTTCCTCGCTGCTAGAGATGCTGTTTTCTGCCGATCGTTGTTCGTTGCTCGCTTGCAAAAAAAAATGGAGAGAAAGAAGGGGAAGGGAAGGAGAAGGAAAGAAAGAAATGGGCAAAAGAGAGCGATAAGAACTAAGAGAAGAGGGCTGGCCTGGAGAGAGGAGGGCTGGCCTGGAGACAGGAAAGGGGGAGGGGAGCGGCTGTCCGCTGCTTCTGGGGTTGTCGAAGCTGCTTCCTATCGCTGTCTGTTGCAGCTGCCAGTGGTTTCCCTTCGTGTTGTCCCTGCAGGAGAAGAAAAAGGGAGGGAAAATAGATAGGGGAAACGGGGGGAGGAAGAGGAACGATGGAGAGGAAGACGATTGGAGAGAAGGGAAGAAGGGGGAGAGAAAGAGGCGGCCGACAGCTGCCGGCTGGCCGGGGAAAAAGAAAAGGGGTCACCGAGGAGATAGAGGGAGAGGGGATGCGGCTGCCGAAAAAGAATGGGGAGAGAGGGGCTGGCGGCTGATGCTGCAAAGAAGAGGAAGGGAGAAGAGAGTGAAAAATTGAAAATCTTCTTAGGTTTAGATCTTTGATAGTTCAAAATAGAGAAAAAGAAAGATTTGATCTCAACCGTTGATTTAATAAGATATGAATGGTTAAGATTCGATTAATAAAATAGATGGATGAGATTAAAAGATGAGATGTATTGAAATCAGATTGGATTGAATATGGAATGGCTACAATAGCAATTAAAATTGGCTAGAATTGAAATGAAATGGTGGCTATGATTGGTATAAAATTTGAAATGGAGTGGCTAGAATTGAAAGAAATTAGAATTGAATAGGCTAAAATTTAAATAATTTTAGGAAAGTGTAGGAATTGCTATCTAATTAAAATACTAAATATATTAAATTATTTTTATATAATTTAAAATCATTTAAATTTTAAAACATTTGAAAATCATTATTAATTTTAAAATATTATAATAATATTTACGATAATTTTATAAAGTAAATGATACTAAAATATATAATTTTTGAGAAAACTTGACGAAAACCTTTACCTTTAAATACTTATTTAATCGAATAGTATTCGTAAAAAATGGTTAAAGGTAGGTTAAAATTGGGTGTCAACAGCTGCCCCTTGGTTTATTGATAATGAATAATGAATTGGAAGGAAACCAACGTTGACTTAGTATCCGATATTGTCCGATCGACAAGAGATATCATTTGGATCAATTGAAATGATGTAGAGTTGAAAAAGGGTACGACTGAGACTTTGATATTAAGCCGCCTACATATCTCTGGTTATACGAGATTTAGTTTATTATCCTTTGAGCAATCGATCATATCTTCAAATTCTAAATAAAATGTTATCTTATAAATATATAAAATATTACCAACAATGATAAAATATGAGTTCTAAAAACAATGACAAGAGGTGATAAGAAGCACATCTGTTTTGAGACGTCCTCATAAACTTTGGCTTAACTTGTAGGAGAATTGCAACCCATCTCCGATGGTTAAAGTCAACCTCCAATAGATATCATAGTATAGCGAAATAATAATATAAGGAAATGTCTGGTTGTAAGGAGAGTCTAAACGTAATTTTAAGGCGGACGAGCCTAAGTGTCATTTTAAGGCGGGCGACCTAAATATCTTATAAAGTGGACGAACATAAATGTCCTATGAGGCGGACGAGCCTAAAAGTACTTTTGAGGTGGACGGCCTAAATGTTCTTTTAAGCAGGACAAGCCTAGAAGTCCTATAAGGAGGACGAGCTTAAATGTCGCATTGTAATGTGGATGAGCCTAGATGTCGCATTGTAAGGCGGACAAGCCTAGAAGTCCCATTGTAAGGTAGACGATCCTAAATGTCGCATTATAAGGTGGGCGAGCCTAGAAGTCCTATTGTAAGGCGGACGAGCCTAAATAAAGAGACAGTAGGTCACAATGGCGATTTGAATCCGAAGATATCTTGATGGTAGTCTCAATGGCAGTTGAGTAGCCGAATGATAATGTGAGTATCCATGAATCTGATGTAATATCGAGCACTTGCAATGATTCATTTCTTCAGGCACATGCAATATCGAGCACATGCGATGCATTTCTCTGGGCACATGCAATATGATGCGAATCTCCGATCAAAAGTAAATCTAGGGCACATGTGATGATGCGATTCTTCGAGAAAAATGCGATCTCGGGCATAATGTAGTCATTCAAGCCTAGATCTTATACATAGTGCAATTTCATAGTTTAATGAGGAGGGTATGTAGTAGCTTGGACATTCGCCTTGTTGAAAGGGTCTAGTGTCATTTGTCGGGCTCAAAAGTGGTATGTTGATTGTTGAAATTACCTTTGTATATGTACCTGTATTTTCTACATTCAAAGAAAAATAGTTAGTTTTAAAAGGGGGAGGTTGATTTGTATCCATGATTTAGCGCAGCGTGCTCTTTTGGCTCACCATCCACACCTTTTCGAGCGTCTGTTTTTTCATAAAAAGGGAGAGGACACTTTGAAAGATTTTGAAATTATCATTTAGTAAAAGCTGATGTTGAATCTTTGACCATGGCATAGGTTGAGACTTTACAACGTCTGACTTAAAAGTAGATCTATTATTTGATCTTCGTTGTAAGCTGACTGCTTGTTGAGAAGAAACTTTTGGCGAAATGTTTGAGTTTACTAAAAAATTCTTCCTCGGTATGAAGATGTGCAAGGAGAAATCTTGATGGAATTTTTGAGATCCTCTCTAAAATTCTTCCCCAGTTATCAATAGAAGGGGAAATGAAAGTTTTATTTATAATAAGACCGAACCCCCATAGGAGCGCCTACGTATCCCCTCTTAAACGGGAATCAGGTCTAACGTAGTTCCAAATTACAAAAGAGCATGACTCAATCTCTAGATGTAATATTTCTTCACAGAATCTGAATTGATAGGTTTTGGACAAACTTCTCCATCCATTTATGTAAGTATGACGGCCCCGCCTGTCAGTACTCGAGAGACTATGTACACACCTTGCCAGTTTGGTGAAAATTTACCCTTTGCTTTGTCTTGATTTGGGAAAATCCGATTCAAAACTAGTTGCCCAGGTGAGAAATGTCTTGGTTTAACCTTCTTGTTGAAAGGTCTGGCCATTCTATTCTGATAGAGATGACCATGACAAATGGCGTTAATTCGTCTTCCATCTATTAATGCCAAATTCTCTGCCCGACCTCGTATCCAGTCAGCGTCAGTCAACTTTGCTTCTTGGATGATCCTTAGGGAAGGTATCTCTAGTTCGACAGGTATCATAGCTTCAGTGCCGTATACTAAGAAGTAAGGTGTGGCCCCTGTGGATGTTCTTATTGTTGTACGATACCCCATCAATGCGAAAGGTAGCTTTTCTTGCCAGTGTTAGTGGTTATCGATCATCTTGCGCAATATCCTTTTGATGTTTTTGTTTGCTTCCTCAACAACCCCGTTCATTTGTGGCCTATATGTTGTAGAGTTTCGATGACTGATCTTGAACTTCTCACACATTGATCTTATTAGGTCACTGTTTAGGTTGGTGCCGTTGTGAATGATAATTGACTCAGGAATTCCGAACCTACAAATAATGTTATTTTTGACAAAGTCATCCACAACTTTCTTTTTCACTGATTTATGGGAGTTGTCCTCAACCCACTTGGTGAAATAGTCAATTGCGACAATATTTAATCTGCGCTTGTTGGATGCTGTTGGCTCCATTGGACCAATGACGTCCATGCCCCATGCTGCGAACCGCAAAGGTGAACTAGTTACATGGAGTTTGCTGGGGGGTACTCGATCATATCTACGTGAGTCTGACATTGATGACATTTCTGGACGTAGCGAATGCAGTCTGTCTCCATAGTTAGCCAATAATATGCTGATCTCAGAATCTTCTTTGCTAATGTAAAACCGTTCATGTGAGGGCCACAGGTGCCAGCGTGTATCTCTTCGACCAGCCTGCGAGCCTTTTCTGCTTTGACGCATCTTAGCAGCCCCAAATCGGGAGTTCTTCTATAGAAGATTTCTCCACTTAAAAAGATTCGTGTTTCTAACCTTCGAATTGTACGCTTTTGTACATTTGTTGCATCTTCTATGTATTCACCACTCTTCAAATATCCTCTAATCTCATCGTACCAGGGCTTTCCATCAGTCTCTTCCTCAACATGGAAACAATAAGCTGGTTGTTCATGTATGTAGATGTGAATAGGATCAATGAAATTGTGATCGGGGTGTGGAATCATGGAATACAGAGTGGCTAAGGCGTCTGCAAATTCATTTTGGACCCTTGGTACATGTCTGAAATCTGTTTTGACAAACTTTTTACGTAACCTATGCACACACTCTAAATATGGTAACACCTTTTGAGTTTTCGTTGCCCAATCACCTCGAACCTGATGGATCAATCGGTCTGCATCCCCTATTATTAGTATTTCCTGGACATCCAAGTCAATCGCCCATCAGAGACCTAGTATGAAAGCTTTGTATTCGACCATATTATTTAAGCAAAGGAATCTCAGTTTTGCTAATACCGGATAATGTTGCCCGATGGGTGAGATCAAAACAGCCCGATGTCGGATCTGTTAAGATTAATAACTCCATAAAAAAACATTCTCTATCAATCATACTCTTCAGAAATGTCCTCTCCCACAAAGTCCACCTCTTCATTTGGGAAGTAGGTCTTCAACGACCTCTAATCATCATCCACGGGATTCTCTGCCATGTGGTCTGCTAAAGCTTGTGCTTTCACTGCTATTTGCGTGATATACACTATGTCGAACTCGCTCAATAGTATATGCCATTTTTCCAGTTTACCTATGAGCATGAGCTTTTTAAAGATATACTTCAAACGATCCATCCTTGAAATCAGATATGTAGTATGCAATGAGAGGTAATGTCATAACTTTTGGGCAACACATGTTAGAGCACAACAGGTGCGCTCTAATAGAGAGAATCGGGTTCTCATGATGTAAACTTCTTCCTCATGTAATATATTGCTTGTTCCTTCCTCCCTGTTTCATCGTGTTGTCCAAAGATACAACTGAAAGCATTATCCAATACTGAAATATACAATAGTAATGGTCTACCCGACTCTAATGGAACCAAAACAAGAGGATTGGATAGGTAGTCTTTGATCTTGTCAAATTCTTGTTGAAATTTGCTTGTCCATTTCACCGCAGCATCTTTTTTTAACAGCTTGAAGATAGGCTCACAGATGATAGTAGACTGAGCTATGAAACGACTAATGTAGTTAAGTCGCCCTAAAAACTCATTACCTCTTTCTGGTTCTTTGGCGGGGGAAGCTCATGAATGATTTTGATCTTTGATGGGTCCAATTCTATACCTCGACTGACAATGAAACCTAAAAGCTTTCCTGTAGGCACGCGAAACACACATTTCACCGGATTCAGTTTCAGATTGTACTTGCGTAGCCTGGCAAATAATTTCCTCAAGTCCTCAAGATGATTTGAAGTTTCCTTTGATTTGATGATGACGTCATCCACATAAACTTCAATTTCCTTGTGGATCATTTCATGAAACAGAGTAGTCATCGCCCTCATGTATGTAGCCCCAACGTTCTTTAATCCAAAAGGCATTACCTTGAAGTTATAGACGCCCCACGGCGTGATGAAGGCAGTTTTCTCAGCGTCGTCTTTGTGCATCTCAATTTGATGATAGCCGGCAAAGTAATCCACAAATGATTAAGTTTCATTCCTAGCACAATTATCAATCATTATGTGTGTGTTTTGTAATGGAAAGTTATCTTTAGGGCTACCTTTATAAAAATACCAGTAATCCATGCAAACTCTGACCTTGCCGTCTTTCTTGGGCACTGCAATGACATTTGCAGGCCAAGTTGGGTATTCTATCACTTGGAGGATCCCAACATCTAATTGCTTTGGTACTTCTTCTTTGATTTTCAGACTCAACTTGGGCTTGTATTTTCTCAGCTTCTTTTTACCGGAGGACATGCTGGATCACTGGGCAGTCGATGGGTTACGATTGAAGTACTTAGCCCTGTCATTTCTTCAAAGGACCATTCAAAAATATCCTTATTCTCTATTATAAAATCGATATACTCTTTCTTTTCTTCTTTTGTCATATGGATGCTTACTCGGGTTTCTTGTATCACCTCTGCATTTCCCAAATTCACCACTTCTGTCTCTACCAAGTTTGGATTAGGTTTTTCCTCAAATTCCTCTACCCTTTTTATTAACTCCTCGGGAACCTCATTGTATTCGACTTCTTCTAAGTCATTAATGTTAATTTGAGCAGTCTCATTGTATGCCATAGTCTCAGATTCAACTATCTTATAGTGGATTTTGCAAGATACTCGATGAGGTCTGGATGGAATCGAGGTCCAGTTGCTGACGCTGAACTTTGCTTCCTTTCTTCCACTAGGGTCCCCTTTCTCCTCCTTGTTGATAACGACGTTGCAAACTTTCCCCTATTCTTTGGTTAGTGAAAATCCCTTCAAGTCGTGTGAGATCTTATCAATAATGCCTCCCATGAAACCTGCTGATCGAAATGATTGATGCAATAGCGGTATGGTTTTCGTCAATGGATAGTAGTACCCATCTCTAGGTGGTTGCCAATCGAGCCATTCTTTAGTAGTGTACTTGTATCCCAAGTCAAAAGTTGTGGAGTGTCGAACAGGTTGTATAGGTTCGACTATCCCTTGCAATTCAACCCCCAAACCTTTCCCAAGCTCAAAACCGAACCAGGCCATCATATCTATGTTTTTTTGGCTGAACCAAGGTTGCAACTCAATATTAAAAACAAGCTCCACTGTATGGTACATTTCACCATCCATATGCCTTCTTCCTTCAATCGTGTATACATGATGCTTTTTTTCTCCATGGACTACAACCTCTTCGTAATCCTATTCAAACTTCAAGCATTAGTGAACAGTATATGGGACTGCTCCAACCATATGAATCCATGGAGGACCTAACAATAAGTTATATGACGAAGGGATATCCAAGATTTGAAAAGCTATTGGGAAAGTGATAGGACCAATGAGCATATCCAAGGTTATCTCCCCAATAGTGCCTCTCTGACAACCGTCAAATGCCCTCACATTCATCTTCCATGTCTGAATTTTTGCACTATCCACGCCCAGTCTCGTCAGTTTGCTCAGAGGGCAAATGTTAAAGCCTGAACCTACATCAACTAATGCTTTGTTTATCACCTTATCCTGATACTGAACCGAAATGTACATAGCTTTATTGTGGGTTGTTCCTTCGAGTGGCAGTTCATCTTTGTGAAAAGATATTTTGTAAGCCTAAAAAAACTTTCCCACCATTTGGGATACCTCTCCATGAGTGATGTTAGATGGGACATAAGCTTCACCAAGGGTCTTTAGAAGGGCATTCCTATGAGTTTCGGAGGATTGTAGTAATGCCATAATTTATATTAGAGATGGGGTTTTATTCATCTGCTCAATGACAGAGCATTCTTTAGCTTTATTCTTTTTCCAAATACCCTGATCTTCAAGCTATACGACTAGTGCTTTGGATTTGCTAGAGCTTCCCTTAACAAAATTTCAGAAGCGTAAATTCTTCCAAATCCGATGACCCTTATTGCAACATCTGTCTCTTCCACTTTCGTTTCTATTTTGTTGTAATCCCAAGGTACAACATGTGCATCACATTGTATTGGGGACGATACCCTATAGACAGTGAATAATGGTCTGGGTGCGGAAAATTCTACTTCAAATGGCGCGAGTCCTTGCACTATTATCGGTTCTTGGGAGGTGATAGACATGTCTTCTTCTGTTTTGAGGGCCTAGATGGATTCTTCCTGATCCGTGACATCACCAACTTCCACCATGTTGACCTGATAATTAGGGAGAGGATTATTTGTAACATTCAGTGTAGGATCCTTGAGTTGGATGGTTTTTTTATCAATCAACATTTGAACCTTATCCTTGAGGGATCTGCAAAATTTGTTGGTGTGACCGTTCATCCAAGAATGGTAGGCGCAGACCTTGTTAGGTTCATAAAATTTTGCCCGTACATCCACAGGTAATGCAGGAATTAGGGAGACGTACCTAGCCTGTTTCAGTCTTTCATTAAGTTGTGTTATGGGTTCAGCCAAAGGGGTATAATTTTTTGTAGGTCTTCTTTCATAGGGAGGTTTGTTTGGGTAATTTGGTGTATGAGTGGGTGGTGGAGTTTGGAAGTGTGTTGGTTGAACATTATAGATAGGTTGTGAGGCATGGAGATGTTGAGGGGGAGTGTTTTGGTAATAAATTGGCATGGGTTGGGGAGATATACGGGGTGGAGCTGAGGGATGTTGAGGTATGGGGATTGTGGTGGGTTTGTTGTCTTATGCCTCAAAGGGGTCTTGGTTCC